ACTGTCCATGCCACACAGTGAAGTGTTCTATCCTAAAAGCATCCTTGAGAAAAATCCCAGCCCAGGGAGGGGGCCCTGTGAGTTCCAAGAACGCTTCCGTGCTGATAGGTTTGGTCCATGTGCAGCGGGTTCAGAGTGGAGGATGTTTTCAGCTGGGAAAGACTGAGGTACTGGCAAAGCTTGGGGAGCGGAGCACCCACAGTCTTGGGGCGGCAGTGAGGGGGAGTGGAGGTGCATCCTGAGAGCCAAGCGGGTCCCAGAGTGCAGGCAAGCAGTTTCCTGTGTCCCCGGCTCCCCAGCACTAGCTGCCCGCCATGGGAGGAAGGGACAGGCTGGCTTCCCCAATGCTGTGGCTCACCCTTCCAGGAGGAGCCTGCCTGGGCCAAGGGGAAGCGCCAGTTGGACAGCAGCCGCCTGTGGACCCACAGCCGGACTGGGCAAACAGCTGGCAGCCGGGATGGCAGATGGGAACTCTCCTCTCTGGCCCTGCATGGAATGTATGACTCAGGTAGAGTGTTTGGGGGCCTTACTGCAGTAGGAGGTGAGGGAAGGGGCAGAGTGGCTGTTACCCCTGGAACGCCGAAGCTTCTTTCTGGAAGCTTCTTTCTGAAAGAGTACCCGTGGGGGGCACCCTGATTGTCAGCGGGGACATGCTCCCTCCGCCCTCCGAGCATGTGAGGGTGGATGTGAGCTCCACCACCACCAGCTGCCGTGGAGCCGGCTCTGCATCATGGCAGCCCCACGCCGTCGGAGCAGAACGGGGCTCCACAGGGTTTACAAGGTTGGGGTCTTTGGGAAGTGGATCGTCAGGCCTTTCTTCCAAAGTGCCTGTGGGTGGACTGCAACTTCCAACCTGGTTAGCAACCGAGCACATGAACTGTTTGTACCGCCCAGGGGAGCACAGGCATGTAAGCTCCATCGGGACTGACTTCTCAGCTTTTCCTCCTGAGCCAGCCCAGGGCACTGAAAGGAGACAGCTAACACCCCTCATGCCCCTGTCATGGGGCAGCGCCATACGAAAGATGGCCCCAACCCCCTGAGAGGGAGGCTTACCGGTGCCCATTTCTCAGACAGAAACCCTCCGAGAAGTCAGAGCCAGGGGTTCAAAGCCCAGTCCACCTGACACGCCACTGCACCTCCCGCTCCCCCTCCCTGCCTCGTCTTCCTGGCACATGCCGTCCGAGGAGGACCAGAGAGAGTAGTGGGCTTTCAAAATGCGTTCCTCTCTTTCTTCAAAAGCCTGAACATCGCCAAGCAATAGCCAATGGCATGAAGTGCAGGAAAAGCATTTCTTGAATCTCCTTTTGGGGAAAGCCCTTCCAGTTGGGTTTTCACATGCCGTTGACGCCGGTGGTCGTGGTTAAGAAAACAGCGGTTGGCCTGTGCTGAGCAGAAGTGTCGGGTACCATGGCTGTGGGCACACGAGGTGTGAAGTGATGCTGGGGGTTTCTAGAAACGTGACCAGAAGGCTCCGGCCCTCGGGGTCCCTCAGAAAGCCACGGAGACATTGGTTTGCGAACCATTCCCGGCGGGGTTGGGAGCATAGGCCAGTGGGATGTCTTAAATGCTGGTCCGCCTGAGAGAGGAAGCGTATTTTCAGAAGCAGTTAAGGCATGGAGAGCCAAACTGCTGCCAGGATGGTGTCGCGCTAGCCAGTAGCATTTGAGGTGGTAGAAGGTGAGCCTAGGAAGGGCTTTGAAGAGGTGACACTTAAAAGTTGGCTTGCAGGGCACGTCCCCTGCAAGGGGGAAGGGTGGTTTCCTTAGACCGTGAGTCTGGGGGGCTGCCCAGGAAAAGGCCCCAGGCTGTCACAGGAGCGCTCCTCCCACGCGGCTGGGTGGTGCCCCTCTGCAGCCACTTGCCCACCTGCAGCTGCCCAGGTGCCCTGCCCTCTGCCCGGCCTCCAGCAACTGGAGCCGTCTGGGGAATGAGTTTGACACGGCTCAAACGTGCTTTGACTCCTTGTTCTGCTCCAGTTTGGAGGGGAGAGCCCTTCTTCAGAGAAGGGCGAGAACAGGGTTTCAGGGTGTTGCACCTTGTTTTCGACTGCCCTCACCCCGGAGAAGGGGCTCTTCTGTTGGGCGGCTTCGGCAGGGGTGAGAGGGGCATGGCCTCCTTGGCCAAGTGTCCCTCTGAGGGCCTCCTGTGCCTTTTTGGGAACCGAGGCAGGACTTTGTTGTGGGATTTGTCTTTGGTGATACTTTTCCCCCCTGGAAAGGAGGCCTGTTCACATACTAGGGTCATGAAGCCATTACATGCCCCTTCATGTCTCCTGTAAAGTATCCCTTCAGAGTGGTTCCAACCAGCACACAGGGTGTCAGCTGTCATGGACAAGCCGGTGAGACCAAGGGGTCAACAGAGGGCCAAAAATAGCAGCCGGCAAGAGGACACTCCAGGGAGTCAAGTCTTCGGGGTGCCTCTGATGCGCTTCTGATGGGGACACTGGTGAGGGCCAGGGCGGTGGGTCCTTCCACAGTGCGCAGGGCACCCACAGGGCACGCACTTCGGGGGCAGGGCTCTTGGGTAGACAGGACGGGACAGGGTCGGGATGGGATCAAACCAGCCTACCTGGGACACTAGCTTCTCTCTCTGATTTTCCAGCCTTACGTTGGCCTGTTTTAACGGGAAATGGATCCTTTCATCCCGGGTTGCTGTGAGCTTTGTTAATGTTTGGGTTGCCGGAGTTATGGCTACATGAAGCATATCGCTGGCATATGAACTGCCCCCGTTTCTCTCTGTCGACCTTTAACGCGTAGCCCCTGGCTGATTGTGTTTCAATCCACTACGAGAGTGTTATTTAAAGTTGTGCTATACTTGCAACCTCCACTAAGTATTCAGTACTGTAGCAGTGAAGTCTTATTTGTAAGGATGTGGTTATTTTTATACTCGTCCACTGTAAGTCTGGCGTTCTAGTCAGTAACACGATGCAATAAAGGCAATATCCTGTCCAACGTGTGTGCTTTCTCTGAGTAACAAGCGAACCAGGCCAGAGGCCAACAAGTTGTCCCTTGGAGGCGTCACAGGAACAGCCGAGCAGACGGTGCGTCCCTGCAGGGCGAATGCAGGTGGCCACCGACCAACCAGGTGCTGCCGAGCCCACTGTGACTCGTGGTGACCCCAAGTGGGTCTCCGAAGAACTGTGCTCCATGCAGATCTCGGGGCTGGGCCTCTGGGAAGAAATCACCAAGCCATTCTTCCAAGGGGTCTCTGGGTGGCTGGTCGCCACCAACGGCTCTCCTTGAACCTGTTCACTGTGCAGAGAGGCCCCAGTCCATTCCGTATCCTCAGTGCCAAGTACAATGAGGAAGTACG